TCGGTTCCTTCTTACCCAACCAAGAGCGAGACACACCCGGCTCCTTACCCGACTCCATCTTGCCCTGCTCCAGGCGACTACGACAACAAGGGCCGCTACAGCTGCAACCCAGCTCACGCTTATCCAACTGGCCAGACCTGCAAGCTGATTGATGGATGCTATTACCTTGAGTACCCTAAGACCACCAGCTCTCCACCAAAATACCCAACTCAGCCACCTGTCTATACCACGGAGGTCGTGACTACTGATTACACGACTTACTGCCCACAGCCCACAACTTTCACACACGGCCCATCGACCTACACCGTCACCAGCGCTACCACCATTACTCTGCCATGCAAGGGAGGATGCACAGTGACCAAGCCAGTCTATCCACACCCAACCACTGTTTACAAGAACACCACTGTCCCAGTGTACCCACACCCAACAACTGTCACTGAGACCCAGCCACCTAAGTATACCACCAAGGTTGAGACTCAGCTCACTACATACTGCCCGGAGCCAACGACCATTACCGTCTCCAAGAGCACTTACACGGTCACTTCCGCAACCACCCTGACCATCCCATGCGAGCACGGCTGCACCGTCACCAAGGAGATTCCTCAGCCACCAAAGACCTACGTGACCACTGTTTCCAAGCCACAGCAGCCAACAACTGTCACTCACCCAGCTCCCCCAGCTGAGACTCATCCAGCTCCACCAGCTGAGACTCATCCAGCTCCACCAGCTGAGACTCACCCAGTCGCCCCACCAAAGTCTCCAGAGCAGCCACAGCAGCCTCCAGTCTACCCAACTGCACCAAAGCCAAGCACCCCTGTTGTCGCTCCATCGGCCACCACTAGCCGCCCACCAATCGCGACTTACACCGGTGCCGCTGCCCAGAAGGTTGCCAGCGGTATGGTCGCCGTCGCCGCTGCCGCTGCTTTCTTCTTGTAAGAAGCTTGCGTGCTCAGCAGCATCGTCAATTTACTCCTTGACATCTCGTACAAGGTCCATTTAACTCTCTCGTAATGAGTGCGGCGAATCAAGAAACGAAAATGTTAGAAATGAAATAGGGAACATCGGGAAGCGCGAAATTGTCATTACTACTGGATTGTACAGCACCAGAACTGGGAAATTCGGAACATGGTAATCAAAACAATCACGGAAATATCACCTTCGGAGGAGATGGAAATTGAATGTCATGGAACGAAGTTGATGACTGTATCCCGTAATTTATTTACTCCAATAGAGATTAGAGAAAGGTTTCGAGACCTCACTATTGCTCACTTCCTCACTTTCATCGTCCTCAGTCGTTTACAGTCTACAGTGTGCCCTTCGATAGTGTCTACTGCATTGTTTACTCGCGAAAATCTTGGCCTCCGTCAGAACCCGCTCAAAATCCAGCTGTGCCGCTTGTCACTCGTATCTCTGCAGCAGGATTTCCGCACTATTGAATTTGGCAAAAGGACCTTGCTAGTTTCTGCACTGCTGTCCACTTCACTATCGACATGGTTCCTGACGAGAGTGGGTTGTGACCGAAGCATAAACTGTGGGTTGAAGTTGGCCACGATCGAAGATTGCCAGCCACAAAGTTTGCTCCGTTCTCCGTGACTTTTGCCGGTTTTCCATTCTGCCAAGACTTAGAATACGAGCGTGAGAATAGAATGATGATGGCAGGTAAAAGAAAGCAATGTTGCTGGGGAGACGTAGCGAGACGTCATGTTCTGTCTATACGGGCGCGCACGACATGAGCATGAATCATCGCTTAGGCACAACATGAACATCTCATGGTCGTCAAGTAGTGTTGCTTCGTTTCTTGAAACACGGCGTACCAGTTCTGTGATGTCTTGGCTAAAAGCACTGAGTTGAACGCCGGTGCATGCAGACGCCAGGGATGAGAATCGCATGTGCGAATTGGCAGTGGCCAGCCTGCTGCGCGTGTGCCAGAACAAATCGCTGATGTTGAATGTTTGTTCACAGTAAAGTCGATGCACATGGCTCAAAAATCCGCTTGCTGCTCCGCAAATAGAGAAGATGGTGAAGAATCAACACATCCCCCTCCATATTCGCTCAATATCCATTCATTCTCCAGAGGCATCAATGTCCTGCTCGGTTACGATGAAGACATGACCGCTGAACTGGATCAACATTGCAGTCGCTCACGAAAAGTCGAATGCCACAATAACTTCACATCCACGCGCAAAATGGCCTGTATTGTGAGTCGGTACGATACCAGTTTGCTGCGCTTCGCGCACAATCCGGTACTCCTGAGCCTACGTCTCGAAGAATTTTGTCTCTCCATATGGTCATGCGCTGCGGCGTTAAACTGCAACCCTACACTCTGTTGGCTTCTGTCGACGTGAAGCCTCGATATGGCTTGCGCAATCTAAGATCATGGCCATTGTCTGCGTACGTAGGCCAGCATTGAGAAGGCTTCGCTGCCTACTCCGACACATATACCAGTTTTGCCGCATCTACCAGATGCACGTACCTTTTTCTCAGTTTTGCTGTTGAGAGGAAATGTCGCCGGCATTTGCTACAACTCCAGAATCGGAAGGATCTCGCAAGGAGAGTGACTCCCACATCTCGTACAATACCAGCAAAGAGGCAGGATTTGCTCATGGCGCGAGCATGAGAAGGCACGAACCTTTGCGCATTAGATCGTCCTGTCTTGCTAAAGTCCAGATAATGCACGTATGGTTGTGAAAGTGCAAGTAATGTCGTGCTGTTGAGCGATTTTGACATCTGATTCCGGTGAAAAGTAGCGTAGCTACCATATCGTCTGGTCCTTTTCAAATACTACGATATATTGCGCAGTGGTAAGATCTTGGTGTAAGACTGTCCTCATCCAGTTTGCTTTTGGTATGAGCCTGCGTACCTTCTCATTGTGAGTCCAATCGTCCATGATCTTGCGCGTATTGTGAGCACGCCACCAACATCCGATGATCGAGCATACCTACAGTCAGGATACTGTTACTTGACGGAGTGGACAGAGTTCGAGAAGGTCGAGAGGTGATGTGGGGCCATAACTGCCAATCGGCAGTGCCCGAAAGTTCGCCAAGCATGAATTCTTCTTCCCACTCGCAAGCGTGGATCTCGTTTGAACTTCTTCTCCCAGGGTCGAGTACCAGCAAGTCGCCAACACAACAGTCAAAATGGGTGTCGGTATGTCAATTGAAGAGCATGGGCGGCGTTGGAAGGATCAGATTGGGAGGTTCGGCGGCGTTCGAAGGAGCGCGACCCGGAGAGGTCATGAAAAACGCTGGCACACCTTCGCGATATGGCCGACAACGCCCTCTCATCATTCTGCTAGCACCAGGACGATTGCGCTGACTTTGATACAGATTTGGACAAGCACCACGTCAAGTCGGGTCACCGAAAGGTCCGTGAACCTTTTCCATGAGCACTCATGCCTCAGATCATGTCTGAGGATGTCTGCAAGTCTTGTGTTAACACAAAGGCGCAATCTAGGCCCCGAAGTCGAACAACCCATACAAGAACCTGTTGCACAAGTTGTACACGTTCCTTGACCGCCGCACAGACAGCAAGTTCAATGCTACCGTGCTGAGGAGGTGCGTAAAAAGGATATGAGAAATCGGGACAATTTCAGGTCAGTAACTGACCTTGGAGCAGACTGCGCATGTCGCGCATCAACAACCCACCGATCTCGCTGTCCAAGATCGTGGCCGTCACCGCCAACAAGCACAGCGGCGCTGCTCACGAGGGCAAGATCCGCGCTGTCGTTGGAACCGTCACCGACGACAACCGTCTCCTCGAGGTCCCAAAGCTCAGCATCTGCGCTCTTCGCTTCACTGCCCCAGCGCGTGCCCGCATCGAGAAGGCCGGTGGCGAGTGCCTCACCTTCGACCAGCTCGCCCTCCGCGCCCCAACCGGCTCCAACGTTGTCCTCCTCCGTGGTCCAAAGAACGCCCGTGAGGCCGTCAAGCACTTTGGCTTCGGTCCTCACACCGACAAGGTACGGCTTTCACATCGCAATAAGTGGACGCTCACATATCTAACAATTTCTACAGAAGCCATACGTCGAGAGCAAGGGCCGCAAGTTCGAGCGTGCTCGTGGTCGCAGACGGTCGCGTGGTTTCAAGGTCTAAGCCAGTCGCTAGAGTGCTTCTGGTTTTGGTGGGTGCAGGGAACGGTACAGGCGTTATAATCACAAATGGCGTCTTCAAAAAGAGCATGAGAGGAGCCCTACATCAGGCGTCTCCTCCGCGTTGCATGGTACAAAGAGGTGCCTCAGGCTACGCAGTTCATGAAATGACAACGAATCGATCTTGAACACCCATCACTTATTAGCTCACGTGTATGATTGTTTCTGTGAAACGGACGGACGGCTTCCGGATCTTTCGAGATCCGGACTCCATGGTTCTGGTCGAGTGTGACTGTAAACCTTGATTGGGACCCGATGGTGCCCTCATTAGATGCGGCCGTGTCTCATTAATGATCGCTTGGACGTGGAGAAAACCTGGAGTAGTTGTCGAACATGCAATTTTGTCCCAATCGCCACTGCCTCACTCGTTGTCCCAATGCGGCAAGAATCAAACTTTCTCAGTCTAACCAAAATTTCACGAGTCACCAGCACTCGCCGTAAACTTTTCCGACACAGCCGCGCAGAGACAACATCCTCACGTCCTACATCTGAACAGATTACTCTGACTTCAGACCTTGTCGACATGGTAAGTCTAGCGATCACCCAAAGGAAGAAAATTTGTCTGCGCGCCCTCAGTCTCTCCACCACTCATGTGATTTGTGGTCCATCAGCGCGGCTTCACGAGCACAGACAATCTGAACGATTGCCAGAGACAGTAGCTCATACTCAAGCTAGGCATCAGACAAGGTCGTTGGCGTCCTCGGCGGCGGCCAACTGGGTCGCATGTTGGCAGAGGCCGCCAATCTGCTCGAGATCAAGGTCAATTTTCTGGACGCCGCCGGATCAAGTGCCAAGCAGGTCTCTGGACATGACGGACACGTCGAAGGATCCTTCAAAGACAAGGATGCGATCCAGAAACTGGCTGAGAAGTCCGATGTGATCACAGTCGAGATTGAGCATGTCGACACTGAAATGCTCAAGGAAGTCGCAGACACTGTCGATGTGCAGCCTTCTTGGCAGACAATCCGCACTATCCAGGACAAGTACGTTCAAAAATTGCACCTGGAGAAGAATGGCGTGGCAGCAGCGCAATTTCAGGCTCTGTCGGCTCCTACGCTTCAAGAAATGGATCGCGTAGGTACCGAACTTGGCCTGCCGTTCATGTTGAAGTGTAGGAGAGATGCCTACGATGGGCGCGGAAACTTTGCCGTCAAGACGAAAACCGACTTCAGAGAGGCTCTGGACGTACTCTCCAAGAACAAGGACCTATATGCCGAGAAATGGTGCAACTTCAAGATGGAGCTCGCAGTCATGGTCGTCAAGACCAAAGACAATGTTCTGTCTTTCCCTACAGTCGAGACGATCCACGAGGACAGCATTTGCAAATTGACCTATTGCCCAGCTCGTGGCGTTAGTCCTGAAATTGACAAGAAGGCTCAGGCATTGGCACGGCAGGCAGTTGGGTGCTTTTGGGGCAAAGGCGTCTTCGGCGTGGAGATGTTCCTGACGAGAAATAACGACCTTCTGATCAACGAGATCGCACCTCGTCCTCACAATTCTGGTCACTATACCATCGAAGGCTGCCCGGTGTCCCAATATGAAGCCCACCTTCGTGCGATCCTGGATTTGCCACTTCAGCAGGAAGACTTGCAGCTTCGAGAGCCAAGCATAATGCTCAACATTCTTGGTGGAGAGTCGCCAGATTCACATCTCTTGATAGCACGCGCAGCTCTGCGCCACCGCCGCACTAAAATCCATCTCTACGGAAAAGGTATGTGCAGTATCAATCGTCCTGCAGCTTTTCGCGGCACTGACAAAACCACAGGTCAAGCACGCAAAGGCCGCAAAATGGGTCACATTACAGTCTGCGCACCCACAATGCAAGAAGCCGAGCAAATCATCCAACCCATGATCGACCTAGTCGACGAAGGCAAACCCCAAATCAACCGCCGAGGCTCCGTAATGTACAGCACACCACAAGAGAAACCAACAGAGAAACCCCTCGTAGCAATCGTAATGGGCTCCGATTCCGACCTCCCCGTCCTGCAACCCGGCCTCGCAATCCTCAACAAATTCTCCATCCCGTACACAACCCGCATAACCTCCGCCCACCGCACTCCATCCTGGATGGCCGAGTTTGCCTCTGGCGCCGCAGCTTCTGGCCTCAAAGTCATCATCGCAGCTGCAGGTGGTGCGGCTCATTTACCAGGCATGACAGCGGCTTATACTTCGCTGCCCGTCATTGGTGTTCCGGTGAAGCCTACTATTGGCGATGGCATGGATTCTCTGCTGAGTATCTGTAACATGCCGAGAGGAGTTCCGGTGGCTACTGTCTCGATCAACAACTCGGTCAATGCGGCTCTACTTGCCGCTCGCATCATTGGTTCAGCGGATTTGAAGGTCAGAGACGTGGTGGAGAAGTACATGAAAGATTCGGAAAAGGAGGTTCGGGAGAAGGATCTCAAGTTGGTGGAAATCGGGGCAGAGAAGTATGCCACTGAGATTCTGAAGAAGTGAGCAGTCGAGAAGTATGGGTAATTAATCATTGCAATGGAATTGGGTATCATCGGGCGACGTCTCTCTCTGACTCGGCCGATCACTGTAAGCTCAATCTTCACCAGAATGTCAGGTTCTGAAAGGCAGTTCAACCAATCTCGTTGCCCATACCATTTCAGTGGGACAACGAATGTTGAGCCAACGTCTGCAGACAGTCTTGACGAAGCCCACCGCCCTCTCCTCTACAAGCCTTCCAAATTCTCCCACTCACTTCAACCCACATCCCCTGAACTCCAGAAAAGCTGCTGATGTCCGAATCATGCTCCATTCTCCCCCGAACATCTTCCTCCAACCCGTCCGCTGACCTCAGGCATCGAAGAATAAAACCCTACCAAGCCCTAAAGATCCCAACATCAGAGAACAAGTAACCCTAGCACGTCCATCACAGTCCAAGATCTACACAGGCCCATTTGACCGACTTCGTTCGGGCACCTTCAACGTAGTCAGCCCACATGCATAGCCAAGACATAGCACATCATAGCTCCTGCTATTCCGCATAAGTTCCGCAATTGCATGTGAAGAATCAAACTGGCTGCCGTGCAAGCTGACCAAGAAGAGGAAGAGTTGAGGCACATCAACAGATGGTTTGGCTTCGCAAGCCGAACCGATAGAGATAATATGTGTGTGTGTTCATCTATCACCCATACCCATATCCTCAATCATAGCATCAGATGGTATCGTTATGCATTTCGAACACTCAGAATAGCACAACAGAATAGCAAACAAATGTGTGTGTGTGTGTGTGTGTGTGTGTGTGTGTGTGTGTGTGTGTGTATGTCAAACATGAAAAAATTTGTCGCTTCCATAAGAACGCTCGCTCAAGAGAGAAAAATTGTTGTCATGTATCGCGATACAGAAATGGCAAAAGTGTGAGCAAAGCAGAGTGCGGATAGAGTCGCTGTTTCAGTCCTCTCAATACGGGTATTCTAGATCCGAAGTGGAAAATGGTGCCTGGTCATGGCCGTCCTTGGTTGTGGAATGTCAACGCTCAAACTTCTCCCCAAGCGCCCAGCGCAGAAGACAAAGCCTGGCCGCTGTGGATGCTGCCTGCGCTCCCACCAATATCCCAATAATGTCTTGAGCTTCCGCTCTTGGTATGTCGACTTCGCTTCGTGCTTTGGCTCGCACAGCTGCTGTCTCCTGTTCGCTTCCTGGCGAGCTGCTCCATGTGGCGTTTCTTGAGCATAGACTCTCGTCGTCGGGCATGCACTGCTTGGAGTTGTGCTCGTTCGAGAGCTCGCTCGGCGGCTTTTGACACGAGTGGATGTTGTTGTCGGATAATTTCCTTGCGACGCTCGCTTTCGGGTGATGTGCCCATGGCAGTGTTTACTGTGCCTGTCGTGGCCCAGGACGCTGGCAAAGGACCAATACTGTCAGCGGCACTGGGTTGAGGCCCCGGTTGCGCATTTGAGAAGCGGTTCTTCAGATATGAGAAAACCATCTTCACGTCGACATCTCGCTCCCAGTACTCTCGTTCCTTCTGAAGCTTGCCGTGCTCTTCCTCATCTGTGAGCTCATCGGGTTCTTCTTCGATCCCCCATAATGATGTATCGGCAGGTTCTGTGACTGCTGTGAGTGGCGATTGCGGGACAGTTGGTGCAAAGGCGTTGTCGATGGGAGCTTTGCCTTTTCGTGCTTTCTCCTCCCGTCGGCGTTGTCGCAATGATGGCTGGCGCGGGATATTTCGTGGAAGTCCAGCGTACTCGATTTCCTGTTCCTGTGCATTCTTGTATGTGCTGAATGCTGAGCCATCAGCTTCGGCGAGTGTGTTCACGAGGATACCGAGCTCGCGTGCAATGCGGTCGAGAAGTTTGACCTCCCATGCTGGGTCTGAGTCATGAAAGGACACGCGAGATTCTTTTCGAGCTCTCGTGGCAAGAGGTGACGAGTCCCTCGGTGTTGGTGAGGCATCATCGGCCAGTTGTTCGCCAAATATGACGGACAGAGTGGCATCATCGAGGCCGATGAGGTCTTGTATCACCTTGCGTGTGATTCTTCGCCACCAAGACTCGCTCTGTGGTGCGGGTTCTGTCTTTGTGCTCCCTGCTGCGTCGGTCATGACTGAGTCTTGTCGAGAGAAGACTCTTGATAAGGCCTCGTCCTGCAGTTGTGAATGCACTTCACCAGCGCTCGTGGCGGTCGTCATTCGACTGAGCCGTCTCCTCCTCCGTCTTGTCTCGCGCTCAATCTCCTCCAATACCGCCTTGCTCTGGTCTAATCGCCACTTCTCGATGCGAGCTGTGCGATCATCCTCGGCGCTGATTTCCTGCTCCACCTCCAGCTCATCTAATTTCCGCTGCACACTGCTTCGCCGTCGAACATGTTTACTACTCCGTCGGTGAGGGTTATATCGTTCAAACTGCCAGAGGTGCTCCTGTAGATCGACACCGGAGGGGAAGGTGCCAAAGCCGTCGTGCGTGGGCAATACGGTCCCGCCACTGTGATCGAGGTTGGACGGCCCTGCGAACGGGTTGTGGAAGGCATGAAGGCCGTCGTCGAGACTGTCCAGTTCGTCGGCTTCTGTACCGAGACATGTGCCACTATCGTCGGGATTATTTTCCGACTTGATATGTGTTTCTAATGACGCGATGTCGGACAGGGTTCGGTGTGTTGCTGTGCGTGGCGTTCGCGATGTGCCCGTGGCGCTCTGTTGGTCGGATTGAGGTTGGAAGAGGATCCATTCTTGCGAGTCTTCGATGGTTCGCCGTGTCGCTGGCGATGTCGGGGCGGGAATGCGTTGCTGTGGGGTGTAGTCGATGGAGAGCTGGCGTGCTGGTCGCGGTCGCTGCTGGGGCTGCTGGAACGCCATGGCAGCTGATAAGCGCGATAAGGCGCGCGACGGGGTGGTGTTGGGTGTCGGCGTCGTTGTGCGGTGTTGCAATGGCAGCAACGACGGTCAGAGTGGGCAAAAAATGATCTCGTGGGTTGGGCGCAAGTCACGCGCCGCTCGAAGGGAGAAGTAGCGGCATGCGGCAGTGGTGAGGTGCTTGCAAGCTTGGTGAGTATAAGAGCCCAGCTGGGTCAGGATCGACCGATAGCAGGTGATGGGCAGAAGCAAGACCGCAGCCCCGCCGGTAGTGTACCGCCGCGTGCGATGTCGTCTTCGTGGACTTCCGTAGCAATAGCACTCGCTGTCGCGCGAGGGCTAGGTGCAATGATATGATGGTATGGCGCTAGAAGGACAAGAATGATGTGCTCCCAGGACAGGCGGTGGGATGGCGGCCGGGTTTGGTCGCTGGACGAAGATAGCGCTAAGACGTCTATCGTGTTTCGTGGACAGACAGCACCAGAGGGCAGAGCTGCCGGATATGCTTTGCTGTCGCCGTCCAGCCTATCGTGAGCTCGCCCGATGTTCCTTGTTTCACGACAACTCTGCAGCTGTTCCCGTTGCCCCTTGCGGACTCGTCAACAAAGAAGTGTACGGGATGATTCAGGCTGATGCTGCGGCGGATATTAAGAAAAGGAGGCTCGCAAGCCCGACTTTCATCATTACACATCACCGCTCTATCGCGCGTGCATCACTGCTTCGGCGGCGGCAGTGTTGCGGCTCGTTGTGTACACCACGCCGCCAGCAGTCATCGCGTGTCTGTGAGGACCACATCGTGCAGCTGGCCATCAGCCTCTTCCTTGCTCCCGCCAAAGCTGCCAGGTTCATACCATTTTTCCGCCGCCGACGCCTATCTCAGTTTTTCTTCCATGACGCATTACATTCGACATTGCACCACGCACTCTGCACTCCATTGCATGGCGCACCATCGGCGCATTGATCGTGCAATACGTGCATGCTATCCGCCGTGCACCTCAACCTCACCTGTAGGCTTGGCTGGCACTGCAGGCGTGGGGCGCCACCACGAAACGCTTTGCGATTGAGCGATTCATCCCGTCCGGCGACCGAAGAACGCGGCAGTCCAGAGGTACAAAGGTACATCGAGCAGCCCTGCTCGCTCTCGCGCCGTGAACCATTCCCACAGCAAGCCAGGCAACTGCTTCGTGGCGTGCTCTGCTGACGGCGCATGTCTTCCGGCGCCACGTAGGAGCATCTTCGTCAGCGCTCACCAACAGGACACGATACCAGAAATACCACCGGAATCATGCCAGGAACTGCATCTCATCGCTGCAACTTTCCTACTGGACCCCTTCTTGTGTCTCGAGACCGAGTCACGAGGCGTGCGCAGCCCGTGCGATGAGCTGCCACAATACACCCGCTTCGTCGCGCCGTCCCCCGAAACACTTGCACCTCTTATCTTCGCAACAATTATCCCAAGAGATGCAAGCGGCAGCCCAGCAAGATAGCCTTCGATCCTTCCCCGCCTACACCCGATCCTGTCACGGACCGCGCTTTAACTGCAGACATCTATTTCAGACAACAGCCACAAGACCCGGACAGCGACCTCACCTCGTGATGACCAACACCGCCCCATCTCATCACAGCGCCTACGCATCCTCACTCCCAGGCACCGTCTCGCGCCCTTCGCCACATGATGCAACACGTTTCATATATGATCTCACTTCCCAGCATTTCCACGAGATGCCAGGATGTCCCATGTACCGCCAGCGAAGAACACCTGACCGAAGTCCTCCCAGACCTCTTCTGCACGGAATTTTTTCATTCACCTAGTGGAGCGAGACAACATCGGCTGTTGTTGCGTCTTCGGCGGCCATATGACAAACAAAACAAATTTCTTTCTGTTGATGCGGTTGCGATATCGGAAATTCTAGGACTCAGATTACGACTGCGACCATGCTCAACCGAGTAACAATGATGGACAAGACGTTGATGGACCGGTACATCCTACTCATCGGCTCGCTGGATGTGGTATTCCAGTGGTGTCATTGTTCTTCGTCTTGACGCCACTGTCCATTGCGCTCATATTGGAGTCACTTTACGTGACAGCGGGCGGGAGAGGCCAGATCGTAGATATGCTCCCGCATTGCAGCCGCCGCCTGTACATTCCTCGGGAACTGCTCACGGGTCTGCCCGTATTGCGTGTTCGTTCGCTGGAAATTACTCGAACGGTCACGAAGCAGAATCTTCACATGCTTCCGCATTGTTCAGCGTTAGAGCCGCATACTTCTGAGAAAGACTGATGCTGCCCTCGCATCGTTCGTACTGTAAGTCATTTCGCCGGAGATAACTGGAGCTGAAGATTAAATCGCTGGTATGACCCGGAAAAGGTAATGAGCTTTGGTCCAGCTATGCTGAAGCATAGCAAGTAACTCTACAGGCGTCCGTCAACAACAAGCTATCGATCCCCTACAATAGATTCCTTTCGCTACATCGCTTCCCTGCACGAGCAACCTCCTAGCTCTAGGATACAGCTAGCAACCCATTGCCAGGAGATGCCGATCCAGACCATCACATCTCATCGTCATCCTTCAGCTCGAATAGGCAATTGACAGAGTACACAGGAAGCGACACATGAACTCTTTGATGCACGGAAACGAGAAGTATGGTCGGCTGTGCTTTACATTCTGGGACTGCACCGAGGTACAACTGAACCCCAACACGACCTTTTCGCCGCTTCCCCGATATGGCAGGAATGCATTCAAGCCTGAAACAGCGGACGGTCTATCAGCAACGAGAAGAATTTAAGAGTTGGGGCCAATTGTTATGCTCTTCCAAAGTTCCAACGCCCTATCGCTTTGCATCAATGAACCATTATCGCGCACTCCTATTCCTGCTCAACTGCTGATCTATGGTACTGTGCCCAATACAACGTCAAAAAAGATTAAACACTATGCCAGTTTTGGCATCTCTTTGCACAGCTCTACGGAAATGCATACACTTCACTTCAACACCTCGCCAGCAGATCAATGCCGATACTCACGCTTTGCTTCTCGATGCTCGACATGAAGTCGTAGGAGTTGGGAACATCTCGGTTTCCGGATACACGACTGCTGCGACTCTGCTTTTGTCTATTCGTGTCTGAGCTTCTAGGGACTAGGACCATTCGTGCAAAATCCAGGCACTGCATACAAACGCTTCGCTTCCAGGCTTGAAGACGCCAGTCTGAATACATCCGGGTTGCTCTGCAGGCAGATGTATTTATAACGTGGCGTGAATCGAGTGCGGGCACTCTAATTGACTGTGCATGCCAACATCGTTCTGCAATGGTTGGCAGAATCCTCTGGGTGCCGTCTACAAGAATCCAGGTGCCACCCTTGAGAACGAGAGGCTTCCTTTCTAACACTTGTCAAAGCGGAAGTGTTTGTGCATCGACTCCTGCAGGCAAACTTCACGCCAAGGCTGTAAGTGAATGGCATAGGTCTGGCCTGTGCTGCACCAGCATCAAGTCTATAACTTGGAGCTTGAACTTTCGAGTTCCACCCGACAAATCAAAATATCCAGAAAATCTACGCCGAAAAATATGGACTGGACTCGCCCTGAAAACGAAGACGCCTGCGAACTGTTGCGGCAGGGCAGAGACGCTTGTCTTCGACTGTGCCAACTGCTGTTCGACTTCATACTCGTTCTCACCGATCTGTTTCTCATCTGCTCCCTCCTGGTTGGCAAGTCTGTGTAAGTTCCAGCATTAGCCTTCGAGTTCCATTCGAGATACGTACTGATCTTAAACAGTGTCGCCTGTGGCCCGCTGATCCTCGGCGTCGTCGTAACCTGCTTCTACTTTTCTCGACAGAACGATGCCTCGAGTCATGTTGTCGACAATCTTGTCAGAAGCTTCTGTTCCAACACGTTTTTTGGCGCGTACATGTCTAGCCTCGTCATGATGATGTTTGGCGGCTGGCTCATCACCAGTACGTGTGCTGCCATTGATTGGGCTGTGCGCGCAGCGGTGAATTACGGTTTGACCTGCTTCGATACCGAAGAGGAATGGGACCAATTCCTGAAGCGATGCTGGCAGGCGGTCGTTCGGACACACCCTGGATTTTTCCCACAACAGAGTGGGATGTGGGACTTGAAGGAGCCAGTTGATGGACACAACTTCCAGGACGAAACGCGACAGACTCTCAATTCAGAGCCGGCCATCGACTCTGGCGACCATGATGCGCCGGACAGCACATCTTCCGCCGAGAAGAAGTCCAGCAATGCGTCGGAGACCTGTTGAATGCAACGCGGCTAGCAGCTCCACTTCAAGACAAATTTGCAGCTGCCTAGGAGAAGATACAAGGAGATGCGAAGACGGATCGGGGCAACTGGACACCCCGCTATGGAGAGAGGGAAATCCAGATGTTCACACAAAGCATAATCAGAAACGCCAGAAAGGCGGCATTGGGTATCTTCTGAAGGAGATGCTTTGAAAGACAACCCTCCTTGTCTGGTGCCTCTGATTGACAGTGGCGCCATACCGAGTTTCACTCATCAAACGATCGTCATGCTTTGGCAACGATCAATTTGCATAGATCGCTCAATGATAACACTCTAGTCCCTCAAATTACGTGCTCTCCACTGTCAACTTCCCTCATCTTCTCTACCATAAACAAAACCAATTATGGCTCATCCTGCCAATAGCTTCTGTGTTCAGAGCTGAACACTTTCACGTGCTCGCCGACCATAGTAGACACTCTCCGAATCAATCCCAGTCACCGTGTCTCCATTCAACAACTAATACCATAATAATACGCCCTCGTCACTCTTCCCGGCGTAAACTTTGGGATAGTAGAGCAGCAGTCTGCATCACAATCCTTTCTGACGGCATCGCTGCAGTAAAGTGCATCACCGTTCTAGTCGTTGTGTCAGTATATGAGTCGAGGGCAGAGATATGTGTCATTGGCGAACGAACGTGTTTATCCCTAGCGACGTTGTCTTTGAAGCAGCAGTTATCTTTGGAGCAGAAAGCCATCTGTGTGTGGGTGTGCGTGTTAGAATGGCATAGCTAAAGCTAGATAGATGTCGTTGGTAGTGAGTATGTGATACGTACGGCGAGACCAAGAATGGCGGAGAGAGCGAAGATGATCTTCATTTTTGCGGGTTTTCGTTGGAAGATTGGGAGAACGATAGTGTGGGTAGGCTCCTCTGCAGAGGGTATTCGATCAAGTGTCAAAGTCGGTATAATAAAGATGTCTGATTCTATGGAAAGTAGCGAACGAGCTGGCTCTATATACCACTGCCGGAACGGAAGAACCGGCAGTTAGGGCTGATTCCGGTTCATGCGAGGTGGCCACTATGCCATGCCAATCCGACACTAGCAATCTCTCTTTTCTCGCATAAACTCGCCTAA